TACTAATGACAACTTACATAAAAAGATCAATTTATGTGTCTTATTAAGTTACTCATAGACTGATAGGGTTCTCAAAATCAAGTGAAAAATGCTTTCAATCTAAATTTATTTTCTGTTTCATGTCCAAAAGTAGTAATTTTTTCTCTGATTTATCAAATACCAAATTAATCGAGCTAAGGATGCACAATCCATATCCCCACATATATTACAAGATATTTTACGAAATATCTGGCTCAGCTAGTACATGTCCCTTCATTCACAACTTCTTTCCTCTTAAGTCAAAAGATACCCAAAGCTTAAAATCAGTTACATATTTTAAAAAATACTATGCTATAAAAATCTTATTTCAAGTACATTTTACGTGCTAAAATTTATACCCCCCAAAAAATATTTTTTTCTGGTTATAAAAGTAGTATATGTTCCAATGATTCACTATACTTTAAAAATAAGTTAAGGAGCATAAAATTAAAATCACCTAGAAGTAACCACTGCTAACACCTAGGTGTATTTACTTTCAGTATTTAATATTAAAGGGAGTCACATACATAAGAGGTTAAGATCTTACTGTAGATACAACTGTGTGTCCCAGCTTTGTTCTTTCACTCTTGTTCTTTTTGGATTTTAAATGGCTATTTCCTATGCCATTATATATTATTTCTAAGTGTCATTATTTCAGTCTGCATAATATTACTTTGTTGGATATAGTAATTTTTCAAATATCCCTAACAATGTCAGGTACAATTTATATACTAAGAATTCCTTAATCAGCATCACCTGTCCCATATAAACAACTGCCTCTTGAACATACTCATTTGGAAGTACCACAACAACCCAAGCTGAAAATCTAAAACTGAACCCAGTATTTTGTTCCCAGGTGTGAGTGTGTCTGTCTCTTTTTCTCAATCTCTCTCTGTCTCTCTCTGTGTCTCTCTCTATCTCGCTGTCTGTCTGCCTGTCTGTCTGTCTCTTTCTCTCTCACACACACACACATTTCCAATCTCGGCACCTATAACCATATCAACATAATCTCAGAAGCCAACAACCTGGGCCACTATACTTAATCCCTCTCTTTTCACCCTTTGTTTTTAATTCACACAAAATCCATTCCACTTTTGTAATACATCATATTTTCTTCATTCCCACCAGCATCTCCTTCTTCAAGCCTCCATTATTTCAATCTTGGATTACTGAAGAGTCTCCTAGATAGCTTCTTTCTCCAGCATTGCATGATTATTCTTTATCTCCGCATCGCACCCAATGTGGGTTTTGTAAAACATACATCTTATTTGGTTATTCTTCTGCTTAATTCCTTCTAGTAGCACCTCACTACATTTAGGGTAATGTCAAATTCCTTCCATGTCTCTTTAACCTCTTCACCATCATCTCTCCTCTCTACCTCTTACCTAGCCCTATATACTCTTTACTTCAACTGCACTGAACTGCTTTCAGTTCTTCCAATAAACGATACTTCCTCAAATGTTGGGAGGGTCCCTTCCCTTCTGACTGAACATTCACCCGTAGTTTAGACATCATTTCCTTTAGGTATTCTTCTCTAACATACACCAAGTATAGGCCCAGGGACCCTGCTAGGAACACGAGCAGTATGGTGCAACCCCTACAGTGAGTTTAGGAAGATCTCCCTAAAATTTATGTTCACTCAGAACTTCAGAATGTGACCTTATTTGGAAATAGACATTTTACAGATGTAATTAGTTCAGGATCTTGAGCTAAATCTAATGACTGACATATTTATAACAGAAGAAGACACACCCAGAGACACACAGGGAAGAAAGCCATGTGAAGATGGAGCTAGGGATTGGAGTCAGGCTGCTACAAGTCAAGGAACACCAGGAGCCATCAGAAGCTGGAAGAAACAAGAAAAGATCCTCCCCTAAAGTCTTTGGAAGTCAGTGTAACCCTGTACATCTTGATTTCAAAATTCTAGCCTCCAGAATTTCTGTTGTTTTAAGATGCCCAGTTTGAAGTTCTTTGTTACAGTAGCCCTAGGAAACAAATACACCTCCTATCCTAGATTTATTGTAAAATATTAATTGTTGTATTTCAAATCTCACTAGACTATAAACTCCATGCAAAGCAAGAATCAATTCTACTGTTTATAATTTTATGTTCACTGCTAAGTACATCAATTGGTATATAACAGGCAATTAATAAAAAAACAAATATATTTTTATAATAATACATATCTATCGAAACCTAAGAACAATATTATTTAATCTAAGTTAATTTTACTGGCAAAATCTTTATTATTTGAGAATTTATGGCCATTAGAATTTGATGGATTTTGAATGACGATTCTGAAAAAGAGTTTTAGCAAACATCAATTGTTTTTATTTGCCCCAGATCCACCCCTATCCTGGTCCCAAGAACTTTGAAGTTTTGGGAACCTACTTTCTCTGCAAGCACGCAGTCTCAGTCTCGAGAGAATTGTTAATCAAGTGCCATGGTTCCCCGCAGAGGGCAAATGATTCAAACTCAGCCATGCAGACTTCTTTTGTGAATATGGGAGGGAAAGCATTAGAACAACTATCAGTCCAGATTTAGCTCCATGGCAATACACTTCACAGTCTCTCTCCACTTCCTGCTTTCTGGGTCTCTGGACCAGCTTTGGCTCCTAGCTTTCCCTAGAACTGTTTCGTTTGATTACCCTCTGATTCTAAGAGCTAACCCATACCTCATTTCAGCAAAATGCCTTTTTTGCTTAAACTGCCCAGAACTAGTTTGTTACTTACAACTTAAAAACTGGAGATATTTGACAGATTCTTCAAACGTAGATGTGATTACTACATAATATGGATTACTTGTATAAATAGATGTTGTTTCACAAATGGTCACATGATCAGAAAGTTTTCAGTTCAGATTCTAAAACCACTTAGAGATGAACTATGCAATTTAAAATTTATAATTTGCCAATTTCCTTCTCTGAGCTAGCCGCTTCCATTTCTTCAGGCACCGCACACATTAATGTAAATCCTATTCTCTCTCGTTTATTTCTGTCTTTATGTATTAAAATTATCTCTTTTTTAATATTGTTTACTTAAAAGATTTTTATTTTTAAATTTTGTCAGTGTAAACCACATTCTAAAAGCAAGTTAAACCATTTTATAAAGGTGTTACTTCTAAGTAAAGCCTTTGGTATAATAAATGAGACCCTTATAGCATAAATAATTAGTTTATACTGAAAGAGCCACAGTTTGCCACTTTTCAGCACAGAGACCAATATATTTGATGAACATCACTTTGCTAGGTTTTACCATTTCATTCAAATAATAATTAATTTATGTCGAAATTATTCATTACAATTGCATAAGTATATAGAACATTGTTTTCCTTTAAATCTCTTCAATAAATAAAACCAATGTTAATATTATATACGCAAAAATTAACTTGAATATCATTATTATAACAGAAGCACCATTTATATAGAGAGATGTGCAAAATGTAAATTTTAAATGTACAACCTAAGGTCAGTAAAGCAAAATGGCTTTCTTCAATTTCTTCAATGACTTAAAGGTTATTTTCTTTTGCATTTAAATGCAGATAAAGCATAATACATCTCCTGAATAGGTTTTGAATTTGCTCTTCACGGAGGCATTTCCCTAGAGATTCTCTTCAGATAAGAGTGTTATTAGTCTTACTCATTAAAACACAGGAAGAAGAAATTATACTTCTACTATCTTAACACTGCATCATATTTTTTTGCCATCTATTCTACTCCTCACTATCTTGAACGACTTCATCCTCACACTTTCCGCCCAGTATATTGTAATGTCCATGAAGATGTATCATTTAATAGTCCTAAAAGTTTAAAACCACATTATAATCACGTTTGAATCTAAACTTCATTTATGGTCTAAAATTCTGTCACACTCGCTTGACCTTCTACTTCTTCTGTATATTTACATTGAACATATATTTTACTTCATCCTACCCTTAAATTTCTCAGTCTGGCTCCATGATTAGTCCATAATTTCCCTTCCTCTTTCATTTGTTTCCGTTTTAGGCTAGTATGTAAAAGTTTAGCTATTTTGTTGTTTCAGGTGTCTTCTGCTCTCTTCAACACATCTTTGACATTAGTTTATAACAGATGAAAACCTATTCTGTGCTGGTCATTATATTAGACATTCTCTCAGTGCTTTGGATATAAAAACAAATAAACAAACAAACAAAGTACTTGATTACTGGAAAAAGAGACTCCCAAAGACAAGCAAAAATGAAAGAACATAATATATCTGGAAAATTTTATATAATTTTTTATAGATCTATATTAAGGAATGATTAAAGATGAAACTTGGATTTCAAAATCCAGATCACAAGTGTCTTCTGTTTCCTAAGAGTGCTAAATTAAAAAAAAAAAAAAAAGACATAATCTCATTTGGGTTACAAAAGCCATTTTGCAGGGTAAAGTTTAAAGGGGGAAAGCTCAGAAACGGGTTTGACCATTTAGGGGCTATTTTGCTAATTTTCACAAAAGACAAAGTCTGTAAAAAAGTAAGAGATAGATTGAAAAAAAAAAATTAAGTAATAAAAATTTAAGAAATTGAATAAAAAGATTGGTTAATCAATTAAAGGTCACGAACATTGAGAAAGAAGGAATTAAAATTGACTCTAAGTTTTCCAATTTGATTATCCAAATGAACAGTAATTCTAATCAGAGAGGTAGGAAATATTTTTTTTAAATCGTAATTTCTAATAATCTCTGACCTGCTGAGTTTGGCCCACCTACATAGCTATATCAAACGAATGGACGTATCTAGAAATCTGATAGAATAAGTAGCCTCTAAGATGGCTTTCAATCTCTACCTGCTGGTATTCATGCCTTTTTGTGATCCCCTAATCTAGAATGTATGCTAGACCCAGAGAATCACTTCTAAAAACTAAAAGACTGCAGAAATGGTGGTATATTAGCTTCCTGTGGCTGACATAACAAATTGCCACAAACTGTATGGCTTGAAACAACAACAAAAAAATTATTCTCTCACAGTTCCAGAGGTCAGAAGTTTGAAATCAAGGTGTCATAAAGGCCACATTTCCTCTGAAGGCTCTGAGGGAAATTTTGTCCCTTACTTCTTCCAGTTTCCTCTGTTTCCAGGTGATCTTTGACTTATGATTCTACTCCTTGCCTTCGTCTTCACACAGTCTCCTCCTCTGTGTAGGTTTCCTAAGGATGCATGTTATTGGATTTAGGGCTCATCCACTTAATGCAAGATGATCACACTTGAGACCTTTCATTTAATTACATCTGTAAAAACTCTTTTTCCAAATAATGTCACATTGAGAGGTAACACTGGTTTAACTTGAACATATCTTTTTGGAAGTCATCATTCAACTCACTATGGGTGGGATGACCCTTCTTAGATTTGGTTACAAAAGAATGTGGGTTCCACCATAGGTGCTCACTTTTGCTCTCTTGGATTGCTTGTCCCGGAGGAAGCCAGCTTCCATATTATGAGGCAGCCTTATAAAGAGACACCCTCCCTGGCTGAATCCGGATGTGGACCCTTAGCTCAGTTGAGTTTTGGAATAAACCATAACTCTAGCAGAGAGCTTGACTGCAGCATCATGAGAGACCTGGAGCCAGAGATATGGGGTCAGCTGTGCCCAGGTTCAGGGCCCACAGAAACTGTGAGATAATACGTGAGCACTGTTTTTGGGCTGCTAAGTTTTAGAGTGATTTATCACAAAGCAATTGACAACCAATATGGAGCTCAGAAAGTGTCTAGGGTAGGTCAGCAATAATTAAGACAAGCCATGGAAACGAATTCAATTTTGCATTTAAGAAATATATATGAAGTATGCTCTATAAAACAAACATGGCAGTGAGTGTTATTTAGATATAAATTTACATCAGTAATGATAAATGATGACTCAGCCCTCAAGAATCTTATAGTCTCAGAGAATGATAGACAAGACAGCAATGTATCATATGACAAAGAAATATGAATAGTGTGTTAAGGTACACACCACATAGGAGAAGGATCTGGTCCAGATTTCAAAAGTCAGGAAGGACTTCTTGAAAAAGCTGAATTTTTAACTTCCAAAAGTTTACCTACTTAATTATTAACAAAGTTCCCTTTCCTTTTAACAATGCAATATTTAAGGTACTTCTAAGTGGTAAGAACAATTTTCTTATCATTACATTAAGACTCCTATAATAAATTTATCTAAGCTCTTAGGGCAATAATATATCTGCTTCTGTGACTTCTGGAAAGGCTAAAGTTAAATTATTAATATAAGGTGGTTATAAATCAAATCAGGTCTTTACATTGTATTTCATATGTTTTATTTGCTATAACTATTTTAACTTTTATACTTTAAGTTTAAAGAAACCCATAACATTGTTAATAGTAAATAAATGAATCCTCAATTACATAGAAATTGCAATGAAACTTAAAAAAATGTTGAGTGCTCTAGCAAAGGTATGAGCAAAATACAATGAGAGAAGAATGAAGAAAATCCTGTGTTCAAAACGAAGCCTATTATTTTACTAACACAAAAATCCCACTTTTGCTGTTTTATCTATTTCTGTTAACACTGTCAACATATCCCTTCTTGCCTAAGATAAAAGACCTTCCCCTTAATCTCACACTTCTACTACCACCAAATTTCATTTATCCATACTCTGTTTTATATTTATACTACTCTCATTCTAGATAAAGTTTCTATTGCTTCTTGTTTGAAATATTGCAAAGTTTAAAAACATTGCTTCTTAGGTAACATTGATCAGACTTGATGTCTTTGGGAGACCTTATCAATTAATAACCCAGTACCTGCATCCCAAGGTCATTAGTTACCAACTGGTTTTTCATTGAATGTGATCCAGTTGTTACACTGTCATGGTGTATTATATTCATCTGTTTGTCACGGAAGTCTCATCTGCTACTCTATATGCTCCTCAGAGGTGAGGAATAAGTCTTCTTCACCTTTGTTTTTTCTACAGTTCTTATCATAGTGTTTTTGTAAATAGCAAGTGTTTAAAAAATGCTGATGAAAATAAAAGGAAAAGTGTACGAATTATTCGCCCTTCCTTTGGGTTTGCTCTCTCTTCATTAGTCAAACACACATATCACTTCCACATTAAGCTTCTTAAAGGACAACATGGGTCATCTTATTCCCCTGCTATTGTCCCTCACCATATAATGATGAAATATAAATGCTTAAATTTAGGTATCCAAATCACAGAAGGTATTCCCCACCTTTCCAGTTTCCTGAATATCCCCCGTGCTGTCTTGGCTCTGTACTTTTGCTCCAACTTGGACCTCTATTTAAATGTTCACCTGCCAAAGTCTTACCTACCTTAAAAAGCACAACTCAAATTGGTGTCTCATTTGTTAAGTGTTCTTAGCCTTCCAAGATGAAAGTACTTTTGTTAGCAATTGCCCTTTCCATTTACTTATTTCTTGACACTTAGTACATCCTACCAGTACCTAAGAAACTGAAATATGTTTCTTATCTTACCATATTTTACTGAAAATTAGAAGAGGCAGAAAACTATTTCTGTGCCTCCTGTGCCTAACGTTTACCATCACCAACATCATCACTCAAATAATCACAGCGGTTAGGCTTAGTGTAGTAAGTTTTCAATAAATATTAATTGAATAAATGTATACTTGCTACCAGTTACAAATGATGTGTTTTTAGACACTGTAGAAGATTATGCAAATATAACATTCATTTTTTTTCTAGGCTTAGTTATGTAAGGGATATATTGGCTAGAAATATGTGAGTATGGCATACTACTTATAACCAAAATTTAGAATCTTAATTTGAAATTTTTTCTTCAACACAGACTAGGTTTTTTTTATTTTTTAAAGAAATTCTTTGAATGAAAAAATGTCAATGAGTCAACAAAAATTTTCAAAAATGGCTAATGAAACGGTAATTCATTACTACCTTGTGGAGGTAAATTCAACAATAAGAATAAAAAGCCTTTAAAGTATGGTAACCATTGAATCAGTGATGCTTATTTCAGTAACACTAAAATGAGTGATGTATATGTCAATTTATCTACAAGGATATTCTCACATCTAAAAATATTTTTAAATTATTTGCTTATATTAACAGATACAATGGAAACTATGAAACATGAATTCATATTCTCAATCAAAACAAAAAATTTAGGGGGATGGGGGAGGTAAATGGGGTAAAAAAGGTCAAATATGTGGTGACATTAAAGAATTAAAAATTAATAATTTTTTAAATAAAGAACAAAATAGATTTGTTACAAAACCAGTAAAGATATTCAACAGAGAATATATATAATATTATTCCAACTTTGTGTAAAGGAAAAAGCCAACAAAACAAAAATCAAATGATAAAGAACAAAATGATAGAAGTTATTTTTAGAAAATAGGCTCATTCGTGATTTTAATTTTATTATGCTTTTATGTATTTTTATTATTTTCTATAATAAAATTATCTATTATCTTTTAAAATTCTTGGTACAAAATAAAAACTTTTTTTTGTAATTTCAAATCTTTTTTTCAAAATGGTTTAAAGTAAATAAACAATCACTTATTCTTACCTGGGTAGGTTCAAATATAATTGAAAGAATATGGATACTTGACTTTGAATAGTTTCAATCATACAGTTGCCATCCAAGTTCTCTTTCAATCCCTTTCTCTCCTACGTATATCATCAGATGGAATCACATATACCTAGAAATAAAATTTTAATTGGATTTAGTAGAATTAATCGATGATTACATTTATATGTATTTTAATGTAGAAGTTACAATACATGTTCTAAAATTCTAATTATGTTTCTTGTGAAAGTTCAAGAAAGTTACCTAATAATAGCAAAACAAGGGTAAAACATGTTAAATTTTGAAAAGATAGAGTAAAAGAGTAACAGATTGCTATATAAGGGAAAATAGCAAAATTGCTAAATAAGTTAGATATTTTAACTCATGGATACATTATTATTAAAATATAGTGATGGTTGGTTGACAAGATACCCCTATCTCCCTGGGGCCATACAGCAACTAGCCCAGACCTAGCTTCCTCCTTCATATACTAGTTAAAAAGACTAACCAAGCCCGCACCCTGCCCAAGAGTAAAAAGGTGAAACAGATTTTTAGAGAGAACTCATCTATTTTAACTTTCAAACAGCTTTGACTGCTATAGAGAAGCATTTAGGTAGCTTATCTTTCTGTTCATTCTCACGCTATAACTAAAACAAACATAGCAATTGATTTAGATTTTTACATTTTTATTCCAACATACAAAAAGATTTCTCTTTCCAGATGCAATAGCAAAAATAACGCCTTCCTTTAATTTGATATTTTCAAATGCACCTCTGACCTAAATTCAGAGTAGCAGAAAAACTTACAATATAGTATTTCTCCTTGCAAAAAAAGCAAAAAGAGCTTCTTTTTTTTTCTTCTTTTTGGTAAAAATATGAAAATATATCTAACTCTTCTGTTCTGTCTCCCTCCACACTTTGACACAGACCATTGGTAAAGCTAGACCTCTATTTTTAACCTTTTTCAAATTATAGACTAAAAACAGATCTCAAATATTTTATTTCTGCCTCTGTTGGCATCTACACTATCTGAAAACTTTTACATCTTAACCACCATTTCCTTTAGAAGCCTGTTTATCTATTTGTTGGCCCTATTCTTTTTCATTTTCTAAAATAATTTTAGGGAGAAAGAAGAGACCTTAGTTTAAGTGGCCCCAGGAGCAAACTCTGAGGTAATAATTCAAGTAAAGAAGTTTATCTGGGACATGCTGAAGGAGAGGGGTTATAGGCAGATCATCAATAGTATCTACCACAGAAAACAATAATTTTAAAATTTGAATAAAAATATAAGTAGGGTATATTTTAAGACCACTTATAGATATTTAGAATTTAAACAAAAAAAATGTTTGTTCCAGCAATGTTATTATTTATTAAGTCATACTGTATTCTTTTAGCATTTACTGGCTCTTAAGGTATATAAATGCTATAATTCATTTATCTTTCCTTAAAACATAAAAACTGAATTATCATTCTTCCATCTCTAAAAATAGATTTGTTCACCCCGGACAGGATATTTCAAACAAGACATAGTTAAAAAGTAATCGTAAAACTATGTCATGATTTCTAAAGCAATTTACCAGATCATTTTTTCTTTTTTGTCTGTATTGGGGAGAGGGAAAAAAAGGAAAGACAAAATTCAATCCATTTTTTTTTTTAGCATAATGGTAATGTCTCTATTTATTTTGTGCAAACATTAGTCTTAGAAAAGAAATAAAGAAATCACCCAAGATAACAAAAGTAACCCTGTTAACCAGACTGTTAAAAAAATAATTCCAAAATATTATAGCAAAGTAAATACTTTCTCTAAAAAATTCAACTTAATTCAACATAACATTCCCACAGCTTTTATTTCTATCTCATATTGACTGAAATCCAGTCTTACTGTGGGAAATACTTTTCAGCTTAGAATAGTTTATGCAATGTGACAGAATAAAAGAGCACGAAAACACCCACATGAAGAAACGAGAATGAACTTGTGCCTACTTCTATCTTCCTTTTTGCAGAAAAATGACATATACTCTGTAGTGGATCCATTATTTCATGTCTGATATGATTAGATTTGTTCATATAAAAAGCATTTTAAATATTCTTACAAGAACTGAGATGTGCTTATGAGCTGCTCTTTCAAACATATTTTTACTTTAAAATGTAAAATCTTGATTTCCAATTCAAATGATTCTTAAATTTTTAGGAGCATAATATATTCAATTTTATACTGTTTTGCCACCATTTATTACATACTCATGAAATTTAAAGATGTATATGAAATTAAATGAAGCCTATCATTTCTTTATGAAACCTTTATTTTTCCCAACAGTATTAATTCAAGAAAAAATTATTAAGATTGCAATATAACTAGGTCCTTCAATTTGTTAATGCAACACATATCTTTAAATATCCCATACACAATAAAACCAAGGTAAATAAGCCAAGCTAAAAGGTATTTCTACTTGTCATCAAATGAAATAGAGACTACCATTATCATCTTAAAACCTTTTCAAAATTATTTCACTTCTTACTCTTCTTTTTTTTAGCTATCTCCAAGAATTTAGCAATATTTCAAAATATGGCAAAAATAGTCTTCCTGAATATTCATTTAACTCCTATAGACATCTAAAATCAAAACAAAAAATCAAATCTTTTGCCCGTGATTTTCTTTTTTCTTTTCTTTGTCCTGTGATTTTAATTAAGCAAACAGTCCAATTCTTGTTCTAATTGCTCAAGCCTGAAATTGGCATTACCAATCTCTCTTAATTCCCTTATGATCTACGTGCAGTTAAATAAGAATAAATTCAATTCCACTTAATACAAAAGACTCCCTTTTGTTTCTTCTCCAAGTTTACATCCTCGCCAAATCCATAAGTAGCCAACTATGGTTTCACTAACAAGTAGTTTGGCCATATCACCTGTTGCACAATGTCTGAATGCCTTAACATGCCTTAGAATTTTAGTCCAAAGGCCTTAGCATCTCTTCTTAAAGATGTCCTCTCAAATGTTTTCACCTTAGTGCTCTAGACAAAGGGCACAAACATAGTGACTTGGGATGACTGACATAGTGGCTTGGGGCAATCATTTCCAGTGCATTCGTTTTCTCATTGAGGCAGGACCATACCTATTGTCATCACTGTACCCTTAAGCTATAAGGAAATTAAAGTTGGGAAATTAATTTAGTTCATTAAAGGGATATTTATTGAGCATTTACTGAATGCCCAATTGTATCAGTCATTAGGGAGAGGAAAATAAGTCTATATCCTCCTTTGCATTTGTCAATGTTTTAAGAACTACATTAATGGCAAGGTCAGGTTTGGAAGAAACACAGAAGGTGGAACCTGTGACTCTTTAGTTTGTAAGTTGTTCAGTGAAAAAACTGGGAGAGGCCACAGAGTTGGCACAGGAATGACATAAACAAAGGCACAGAATATAAGAAAGGACATGCCACCTTCAAGCAGTTATGTGGTTAGATATACATGATTTGAAAATAGGATGCTATGGAAGACTGTTTTATAAGAAATTTTAGTGGTAAAGAAAGGCCTTATCGAAAAGGTTCTTGAATGCCAAGCTATGAACTTGAAATTTTACTCTAAAGGTAATAAGAGTGTGATAAAACAGGGAAGTGGTACAACAAGATACATGGTTTAATAAGATTATGTGGCAAATGTGGCTCTGAAGAGACCATGAAAGAAAGGCGAGACAGGCAAAATTGCTTCTTAGAAATTCATGTGTATTTGTTATTTTGTAATGCAAAATGGAAAAAGACTTGGGGTATTCATATTTGTGAGATGTAAAACTGGAATGGTGCTTGAGATTTAATTTATGTAGGAACAGAACAAGACCAAGACCACCCTGATCCTGGGCTTTCCTAATCTCAGAGATGTCAGTCTGGACCAAGAATTCATATCACCTATTACTGTTCCATAAACATTCTAAGTTCTCTACTCTCCGTTCTCAGTGTGGTAAAGAAAAAAATGACAGTGGATGAGACATGACAAACTATTTCTGAATTAATAATTTTAAATTTACCAAATTCAATCTAGTTCTTGACTCTACATTT